CAAAGTGCTGGGATTACAGGCTTGAGCCACCGCGCCTGGCCTGAATTTAGGTTTTAAGTCAAGACATTTTAAATATTTATGGAAGAAACCTAAAGTCTGCTGCCCTTAAGGTCTTCAGTCTTACTTCCTGCCATGATCTCAGCATTTTAATTCCTGCCCCTCAGTGGGAGGAGAGTAGAAGACAGAACCTGTCTCCAACTAATTATTGTCTCTGCCTTCCTACTCTCCCTGCCTTGGGATGTCGTGAAACCCAAGGGTCAGATTCAACAGGCGGCTAGTGTGCCCTGGAACCTTCTATTCCACTTTTTACAAGTTTGGAACTGAAACTGCAGGGCGTGTGGTAACACATGTTAACCCAGAGTGCAGATGGCTAAGAGGAATCCCTTTGGGAGAGCTTATCACTGATGGGCAGGAATTAATCTAGTCTAGAAAATGGAATATGTTTGTGTGCTTGTTTCATTAGAGTCATTCTTACTTATTTTTTTCCAGTTAGAGAATCAAGTAAAACCAAAGTTTGCCCTGAATTTTGGTGTGTTTGTGGCAGAGTATGCAGAAGCCCACGGCCATTTCCTTTTTTTTTTTTTTTTTAAATTTTTTTTCCTTCTATTTTCATAACTTTTTTGTTTTCACTCCATTACTGACCCTGTTATCCAGCCCACTGCCATTTCATGAAACGTTTGTGAAACTCCTGTAGACAGCTAGCCTAGGCATGTGAATAAGGGTTAATTTTAAGTAATGTCTGCGTTTGTCTCATTTGCTTTGCAGTGCATGTTACTTTTTCATACTGTGTTGTTATTTAGAGCTGTAAAAGAAAATGCTTTATTTTCAGGGCCTTTTCATCAGTGGCATCGTTGGGGATCGGTTGAATTTGCGGTGGGTTCTGTCTTTCGGCATGTGCTCTTCTGCATTCGTGGTAAGTTGAAAGGGTCTTATTATTTTTTTGGTCAGGTATTTTAGAATCCAAGTAATCCCCCTACTTCTCTGTAGAATAGAATAGTAAGATTAATCCTCAGTGTTCGAATCCCTCATTTGCCTTTTCACTTAGATGAGTCTTTTTTTTTTTTCTGAGACAGTCTTGCTCTGTTACCCCAGGCTGGAGTGCAGTGGTGCGATCTCAGCTCACTGCAACCACTGCCTCCTGGGTTCAAGTGATTCTCCTGAGTTGCTGGGACTATAGGTGCAAGTCACCACGCCCGGGTGATTTTTGTATTTTTAGTAGAGACGGGGTTTCACTATGTTGGCTAAGCTCATCTCTGACCTCAAGTGATCCTCCTGCCTCGGCCTCCCAAAGTGCTGGGATTACAGGTGTGAGCCACCGTGCCTGGCCAGATGAGTCTTTTTAGAGTAAGATTCTAATCAGGTCCCTTTGTTGTCCTTCAGGCACCAGCAGAGTTAATCAGTAGTCTGAATAAATGGCCTGGCATTCGCTAGACCCTGGCCCCAGCCTGCCTTCCCATCATATTTGTCACTCTGCTTCATCCCTTTGCTCCAGCCAAGCTGGACTGCTTTCCAGGCCACTAACACCCTGCTCCTTTCTTTTTTTTATTTTCATTTTTGAGATGGAGTTTCGCTCTTGCTGCCCAGGCTGGAATGGAATGGTGCGATCTTGCCTCACCACAGCCTCCACCTCCTGGGTTCAAGCAATTCTTGTGCCTCAGCCTCCCGAGTAGCTGGGATTACAAGCATGCGCCACCACGCCTGACTGGTTTATTTATTTTTAGTAGAGACAGGGTTTCTCCATGTTGATCAGGCTGGTCTCGAACTCCCGATCTCAGATGATCCGCCCACCTAGGCCTCCCAAAGTGCTTGAATTACAGGTGTGAGCCACCGTGCCCGGCCCCATCCTGCTCCTTTCTATCTCGGTGCTTTTGTTCCTGCTGTTCTGCCTGCCTTGGATGGTCCCCTATTCAGCTCTCCATAGTCCGACTCACAGTCTCCTTCAAGCATTGGCCAAATGACACCTCTTTGAGAATGCCGGTCTCTCTTCTGAGCTCCCGTGCCTGTTTCTTTGCAGGCACTTGAAACAGTCTGCTGCTTAGCTTGGTTGTTTCTGTTTCAGTCTTGCTTTCCCTTAGGGTGGGCGTGGAGTGGTTAAAATCACAGATTCCCTACACCACGACAGCCTGGGTTTCTGTCTCTCTTCTGTGGTTTCCTAGCTTATGATTTCTGTGAGCTTCAGAGGGAGATATGCATATTACCTCTCCCTGGCTGGCAGTGAGGACTGCGAGTTTCTGTATGTGAGGCGTTTGAAACAAGTGCTGTGTAGGGGAGGATCCATGTCTGACTAATCTTTTCTTTTTTTTTTTTTTTTGAAACGGAGTCTTGCTGTGTCACCCAGTCCGGAGTGCAGTGGCATGATCTTGGCTCACTGCAACCTCCACTTCCCGGATTCAAGCCATTCTCCTGATTCAGCCTCCTGAGTAGCTGGGACTACAGGTGTGCACCACCATGCCTGGCTAATTCTCCTGGCTCAGCCTCCTGAGTAGCTGGGACTACAGGTGTGCACCACCATGCCTGGCTAATTTTTGTATTTCTAGTAGAGTCAGGGTTTCACCATGTTGGCCAGGCTGGTCTCAAACTCCTGACCTCAGGTGATCTACCTGCCCCAGCCTCCCAAAGTGCTGGGATTACAGGCGTGAGCCACCGTGCCCGGCCTCTATATCTGACTAATTGTCATTGTTTACTAGCTTCTAGTCAGGAATTTTTGTTGATTAAATGAAACCATGGAGTTTAGTTAGACCGCAATTTATTATGATTATTATTTTTTTTAGAGATAAGGTCTCAGTTTGCTGCCCAGGCTGGAGTGCAACAGTGTGATCCCGGAGCCTTGAACTCTCAAGCTCGAGCAGTCCTCCCACTTTAGCCTCCTGAGTAGCTAGGACTGTAGGTGTGTACTGTTATACTCAGCAATTTTTAGATTTTTTAGTCATGGGGTCTCACTATATTGCCCAGGTTGATCCTTGAACTCCTGGCCTTAAGTGATCCTCCCTCCTTTGCCTCCCCAAACACTGGAATTAGAGGCACAAGTCCCTGCGTTTGGCCTACTATTGTTTTTCAGTGTTTGTCATTTGAGTGTAAGTAAAACCTTTTTTTCCCCTTGAAATTTTAGAGATGGAAGCACTTTATTTTTTATGAGTTGCTCACCCACACATATAAACATATTATTTTAAAACCTGTGTACAGACTTTTTTGCTTTTTATATATTTTTTAAAAACTGCAGTTTGTACATAAACTTGCCCTTTTTAAGCATATTGTTCAGACTTTCAACAAATAAGTAGTTTTGTGACTGCCCCTCCTTTCTCCAGCCCCTGGCAACCCCTGATCATTTTTCTGTGTACAGTTTTGCTTATTCTAGAATGTCTTATAACTGGAACCAGACAGTATTATACATGCTATTTTTTAATCATGCAGAGTATTCTCAGAATAGAGTTTGACTGTGGATAAAATGTCCACTTGAGCAAAATGCCTGGAAAAAAGCAGCCCCTTGATGAAAGCTGCTAAATGATTCAGCAGATCACAAGTTCGATAGGTTTCGCTTTCGTTGATTAACTTAGGAGCTGCAGCCATAACAGTGGCTGGCACTCACCCCGTGCCTCTGCCTAGAGCGGCGCCTGGCACTGTTCCGGGGAAGGTGGCCTCCCTGGGCTCATTCCATCCTCACAGCAACCCTCTGGAGGTTGCTGTTCCCTCCACATGCACAGTCTGAGGGTGAGGAGATGGAAATAGATGTCAAACGAGGAATTCACTTTTTAGTCTTGGAAGATGTCAGTTGGAGCGCTGATAGCTTAATGACTTCACGTCTTTGACATCACCTCCGCTCTGGTGGGCAGTGATTGGGTGGCTGCCTCCTCATTGTGGCTCTGAGCAGGACCTGTGTGATGCCAACCACGTGACTTACAGGCACTGGCTGTGTGAGTGTATCCTTCACGTGGTCTCTACTCTGAAGCAAGTGGGTGGAGTGGCATCCCCTGAAAGTTTCAGTGTGGCTGTTACATATTCCTTTTGTTTCCTCCTCTTCAAGGTGTTTGTCTTTGGCACGCTCACAGAATGGCTGCGTTTCTACAACAAATGGCTGTACTGCTGCCTGTGGATTGTGAACGGCCTGCTGCAGTCCACCGGTTGGCCCTGTGTGGTTGCTATTATGGGCAACTGGTTTGGGAAAGCCGGGTATGCCACTTCTTTCCTCTCTGGTTTCTCTGTTTAAGTGGTTTCCATGATGAATTTTTCAGATTTGTCAAAGTCAGTTACTTTGATGCCTTAGATATCACCCACATCTTTCATTAGCAAGTCAGAGGAGTTCAGGGAGAGAGAGTTTCACGTCAGTGTGCGTTGGAAATGGTGTGGGCCCTAGAAGCCATCCGGCCCAGGAGACACGTTCCTACTACTCTTTGGGCTGTGGGCAGATTCTGAGTGTGGGCCAAGTCAGGAGGTCTCAATTTTTTATTTTACTCATCGTTTCTTTAGAGAACATAAAAATCTCATTTGCTATCTGTCGTGTATCTTCCTTTGCGTTTTGCCTTCCCTGCCCATTTTTGAGAGTGATCTTATTTAACCTTTTTATATTAAAGATAAGGAAATTGAGGTCAAAGGTTATTCATGTGACCTGCCCAAGGTCATGTAACAAGGGCTCTAATTAGATTCAGATGAAGAACGCCAGACTTTGGGGCTTGATCAAATGGGGTACTTTTTTCCCCTAAGCCTTCAAGTAGGTTTTTTTTCTTTTTTTTTTTTTTGAGACAGAGTCTTGTTCTGTCACTAGACTGGAGTGTAGTGGGGCAATCTCCGCTCACTGCAACCCCCGCCTCCCGGGTTCAAGTGATTCTCCTGCCTCAGTCT